CATTTGATGCTGCGTTAGCAACACTGGAGGGTATAGGAGAAGAAAGTGACAAACAAAAAGCAGTTGAAGCTGGTGGCCTGTTCTATCAAGTCACCAGCTGTAAGTTTCTTTCATGTCTTATAATATTTTTTGCGTATTATGAGAATAACGAAGTTACTGTCTAATCAAATGCAGAGCTCTCAAATAGATTACATCAGTGGTGCTCAACTTATAGCATCAACAACTAACACTCTAAAAAATCAGAGCTGATGAATGTTGGGATCAAATATACAAATACATACTAGAAGTTGCAGCATTGCATGGTATCAAAGTTCAAGAGAGATGAAAAAGAAGATATAGCTAGGCCTCTGGCATTGCAAGAAGATTACATCGCATACGAGTCTTCAGGTTATCATGATGACAACAATAATTCTGATTTTATCAAATATGCATACATTACCCAGTGATTGATCATATACTGTCAGAAATATATACGTTTTCTCACACTAATATAGACATTATGAAGTCATTAGAAGCATGTAATCCAAAATCAACTCCCTTGATTCATCTCTTCTAAAGTTCATGGCATCTTTTTTTGGCATAAGCCAGGATCTTCTTGATAGCAGGTGTGTGCTTGCCAAAAGGATTATTTCTGACTCCTCTAATAAAGGAGAGGCTGTTGTCGATGTTTATAGTTGAATCCAACCTCTTCAGTTGGCCTTCCCTACTCTTACACAAATATTTCGTATTGCTTTGACACTAGCAGTTAGCACAGCACAATGTGAAAGGTCCTTTTCTGCTTTAAAGTGAATTAAGAATTATCTGAGAAGTACTATGTCCGAACAAAGACTCACTAACATCTCACTACTGTTCATCAAAAAAAGAGCTTAGTAGTGATATCTCCATGGAAGATGTTTTTAATAGATTTGAAGGCGGAGATAAGAACACATCTGTAGTACTGTACTAATTGATTTAAACATCATTAATTAAGTAATTAACCTTTAATAAGTATTCATAAGACACACTTACTCATGAATATTAATTTTTGCCCTACCATCATTGTCACCCCAGATCGACCACTGGTTCAGTGGCTTAATAGCTGGCACTTCCAGAGTCATTGGTCATCTGACGAAAATATGAAAAGATGTTAGGAAAGTTTTGTTCCATTTCTGAATGAGAAGAGGAAAGAGTTACAATTAAGCAATACTCTACCTTACCTTAGCTATATTTGATTGCTTTGAGGGGCAGACAACTTCAGAGTTTACGGAGCTACTAAAAACTAATCACGTTTTAGTTCCTGCTTATACCATTGACAAGTTACAACCGATGTATGTCTCAGTCAATCAGTCATTAAAAGATGAGTTGCGGAAGAGATATAAATCATGGTATGCTGAATCAGTAGAAAAGCAACTGGAAAGAGAAATAGCAATGCAAGGCATAAATGTGGATTTGTCTACCTGTAAAATAAAGAGTACAAGTACTCTTGGATGATCTATTTTTGGCTTATACTTGAACAAAAGCCTGAAATTGCTATCAATGGATATTGTGAAGTAGGCATTCAACAAGCTATAGATTTACTAATTAAAAAATAATTAACTAAACAGTAATAATGCATGCACATTATTGACTATTTTCAAGTTTATTATATATTGTAATTATTTTTAAAAAATGCGTTTTGCAAAACTTTTCAGTTTTAACAGCTGTAAGCATTCTAACAGGTGTTGCCTCATTTGTGTCTGATCAAATTTAGCTGAGATTTTAAACTGATATCAAGGTGCTCATTGCTACTGCAAGAACACTGCATTCACAGCTTCAAATTTGTTTAGGGCACTTTTCCATTTTTATGACTAAACCATGACCAAATTTCTTTTATATAATGTCTTGATTCTGCATTAATTGGATACTGGTGCAGTTTATGGAAGAGCTAGTACATGGAAAGTTTATAACCACAAGTGGCTGCGGGTGTACAATTATGTAATAAAGCAACATTTTTTTCTCTGACTCTTGCTTCTGGAGCTCTGATACTTCAACAAATTATGCTTCATGTTTATCTCCACCAAACAAAGAGGTAGGTACTGCATTACAATTTCTTCAAGAAGTCTGCCATCGGTAAAAGGCTAGTGTCTATTTGACTGGTGAGTTGGACCATGTAGCCGTGTTTGCTACAGTCCGTATTTTTCTGAGCTCTTCTCTGGCCTTTATCAGACATCTAACCTTAGCAGGACTTTCTCTGTTCTTCTGCTTGTCAATATCAACACTCTTAGAAACTTTGCATAACTTCTGCCATTTTTTAAAGAAATATGACTTTTAGTCCCCAAAAATCATATTTGTCATCCATTTTACGAAAAGTGCGCAAATATCCGTACATGGCGACAGTATCCCTGCAAGAGATGTATAGAGTGAATCATAGACAGACACTTCTTTGCCACTTTCAACAGTGGATGCTACAATCCAGTGATTATGGGCCCTATTGAAATTTTACACTTGATTGTGACATGAGGAGGACCTCGATGCGTAACAAGTTGTCTCTAAACCTTGTATAACAAATCAGTTGTTTTAATAAAGCTTGGGCAAAAGTTGTTAATCGTTTAACCATTTATTCATAACAACAATATTTTTGTCCTCTGTTGTGAGCCTATAGCACTTTTGGTTGCATGTCACATCTTGCCAAATCTGTTCCCTGTCTTCTAGATCATTTATTTTGTCAAGATCAAATTCAATAGGTCGTGGAGGTTAAGTGTCATCATCTTCATAGGGATCAGTAAGTTCAAGAAGTGAGCAAGAGGTTAACAACTTTTCAACTCTTTGAATGAACACTTTTTCTAAAAATATTGAAGTGCATGGGATCTGCAAAGTAACCTGCTGCATATCACTAGAATACTTTCTCTTACTGGTAACTGTTGCAGATACAGTGTGTGCTTCATGTTGTAGAAACAAAAAACAGGCAGCCAAAATTGTCCTTGACACATGGCTGACAATAATGTTCTTGATTACTGCCACAGCATAAGGATCACTGCTGTTTCCAGGATCACATTCACAGTACATGGTTTTGCCCATCACAGATGTCGGTTTTACTGAAGACTGTGTACTACCTCATTAATAATGACAAAGTGGTGTGGCCAACGCCCACGTACTTTCGGTGCAACAGTGATTGGCCCAGTGGGTGTGGTCACAAAATGGCCAACAAAAGTTTTTCATACTCCATTAAAACAGCAACAGCTAGAAACCAGAGAATGCAAGCAATAAAAAGCAGAGGGAGCAAGAAATAGGACCCTGAAAACCAATGACTTGCCTTTTGAAACAGATAGTAAATGTAATTATATATCCTAAATTTACTGCCTGTTTAATTACTATACCATTATAGTTCTAGGTACGGTTAGAGAATACACTATATCATTGGGTACTTTTCTACTATACTAGAAATGATATTGATAAATGCATTTTAGTGAGGATTGTGAAACTTTATTCTCCACATAACTTCAAGCTGGTACATGTACGTATGGAACAGTTGAGAATGCATTGTTTGCTTTTTTCTCATCATCCATTTGCACTGACTCCACATGGATTTCAGAGACAGGGTATAAGCTCCTGCGACTTGGTCAACAAAATGTTGGGAATGGTTGACAGTATGATGGGTATAGTTACGTCTATGTAACCTATCAATGCCATTATATGCTCCCCACAAATCACTGTACCGTTGGTCGGGTTATATTTGTGGCTGCTAATATTAGTGGCGATAAAAAGTAATAAAAAAGTTTAATTAAATACCATGGAAGCCTATTGAACTTCGCTATGACAATTGACCACCTGTTTACATTAGGAGGGAAGTTATCTCAGCTATCAAAATCATCAGTAGTCAATGCTGTAACTTTGTTTCAAGTATCTAGCTAAATTTGTGGTCTTCCCATTTACAAAGACATGTGGGAGCCTTGTATGGGTGAGGAGCTAGTGTGTAGCCCACATATAAACAATCCTCATAACTGCTATGCTGTGTCTGCATACAAATCAGGTATTATTGTGGGACATGTCCTAAAAGTTATATCAAGGCTATGCTAAACAAACCCAATACTGTAATACAATGTTTTGTCACTGGTGTTAGAAGGCACAAAGGGATTTGTTACAAAGAGGCCTTGAGGTACCTTGCAACTATAAGTTTGCTGGTGGAACCCCAGAGCAAATCGCCAAAATTGCAGCTCTTTTCAGAAGCACTAATAGTAGTTTCTGGCATCCAATGACTTAAAGTTAGTAGTTGGGGATAAGTCACATGCTACCAATGAAAGTATGTCTTCAGCTACAGAAGACACATCAACTGCTGCCGAATGCAGTGGAGTTTCCAATCTAAATAATAGTGAGTCTGATGAGCTGCAATTGGGAGAGGGGGGTCAACATGAATGTAGAAAAGAATCAATCTACTAAGCAAAGAAGACAGTTTCTTGATGACATGTTGAAGAACTATAAGCAAGAGAAGTTAAAATGTAAACTACCTGTTCATACAAAACTTTTATGTTGGGCTAAAGAAGAGTTACAGATTAAGAAATTACTTGTAAAACAAATGGATAGGAAATATGAAGAAAACATGGAAAGAATGTCACGAAACATGAAAAAGCTTAGTGAGTCTGCTGATGGTACAGCAACAACCCCGCAATATGTACTCTTCCCAGTCTCCTCCCTTCCATTCCTATATGCAAGTCTCTCCTCGCTCATACAGTAATTGTAGCTCAACCATATCTTTCCTCCCCATTCAATGATTACGAAAACCAATGACATGTACAGTTCCCTTAAGTTTAATCATTGTGATTCTGTGTCATTATTAGGTTTAACTATTGTGATTACATTTCATTGTTGCATTTAATCATTCTTTATAATCATTTTTTATCCGTTAAAATAATCAGTTAATGCTCTTCTCACTCTTTTCCCTTCTATTTCATTACTGCTGGAAGATCGGTTCGTAGATAACAAAGGTTGAAAGTCACGATCATAGGTGATTCCCAACTTTATGGTTTCTTCATTGATTCATTATGTTATTCGCAGTAGTTATGCACAACAAAACAGGCATATGTAATAAAAGGTAAGTCATCCATGTTTTTATCCATTGTATGCTTTAAACATGCAAATCTAGCTTTTAATCGACCAAAAGCACATTCAGTAACATTTCTTGTGCTACACAATCTGAAATCAAAATACTGCTCTTGACGTTTCATTCCACCACCCGCATATTCCTTCATAATGTAAGGCATTAATGGGTAAGCTGGATCACCTATAATAAATATAGGTATATCTTCATCACAAATTCTTCGCTGGCATGGAGGTATAACTTCATTCTTTAAGAGTTCATTCAATCTGGACTGACTAAACATTCTAGCATCATGAACTGAGTCAGTCCATTTCACCACTACATTTAAAAAGCAACGAAAATAATCACAGAGAGCCTCAATGTTCAGAGAAAAATGAGATTTTCTATTTATATAATCTGATGAATTCAGTAATGGTTGCTTTATTTCAGTGCGTGCCATCTATGGCACTAAGGCACTGAGGAACTAAGTATGTGTGATAGAACTTTTCAACTTTCTCTGTCACTTTCTTCAGTAACAGGAAGTTTAACATACAGTGGTCCTAAATGTGTTGTGATCACTTTTGACACTCGTCTGATAATGATGGAACAACTTGATCGTGAAATACCAAAGGCATATGCCACTTTCCTTAACCTTCCCTCATGAGAAAGGTAATACAAAACTACAGTAACTTGAGTTTCAACAGTAACTGGGAAATGCATATAGGTGGTTTGACTTTTAATAAATGGTCCCAGTAGTGCACATAGCTCATACAAACTTGAACAAGACATTCTTAAATTCAACTCTTCCTCCACTACTCGAGCACACAAGTTTTTGACCAACAAGAAGTCCTACCTGGCCTAATCCAAAAGCTCATGGTTTGTCTTCTTACGACTTGGGGGCATAGCCCCCAGGTCATCCTATAATTGATTTTACCCACGTGCAATATATATATATATATATTTGATTGTATGTTAACACTTACATTTCTTCTATACATGTTGTATTAGAGAAATAACAAGCCTTAGCAACCACCCGCCCACATTACATAAGTGGGCGTGGTCATGGCAAACAAAATGGTAGTTTGGACTTGGGACAAAGTTATGATCATTCTAACAGTGAAAGAACATAGAGATATTGTCTAAAGTCTTTTCCGGAAGCATTAGAAGGTAGAGAGAACCTTCATAAATCTTAATAAGAATCCAGCTGTACTTGCAAGGTGGTTAAAACAATTATAGGAATATTTGTACACAGTTGCACATTTTCTCTTTTGGCGACTTTCTGCTATAATCATCTATACATTTAGCAGCTAGCACGTGCCTTTCATGGTAGAACTTCTGGTTATCCACGATTAAAGCCTGGTTAAGTTGCTGCAACACTACCAAACAGCGTAATAGCAGAAGCAGTAATACTAGCTTTTCTGCAATGTTTTGAGAGATTCACTGCTTTTTGTATTCATGTGTTTAGACAATGTTTGGATAAGTTTTTGTAGGTACCGTATTTACAGTTTTCATTTGGAAGTGCGTTTTCAAAAGAACAAGTTTTTCGCAGTTATATCACTGGTGATATGTAAACAACAAGTGCGAACTCATGTAAAAGTTTCCATTCACGACTGAAACCATTTCAGTGTCAATGTGGCCTAAGTACCTTAATGTATGTGTGTGTGTTTGTTTTGTACATATGAACATATATTCTCTCCTTCTTTATGAACAAAATCTCCCTTTTGGAGTGATAATAAAATCTACAATAATCACGCTCTTCGCAGTGATAATATCTGAGATCAGTAATAATCACACTCTTCGAAGTGATAAGATCAATAATAATGACGCTCTTCAGAGTGATGATCAGATAAAATTAATATGTTTTGTATGTTCCTACAATGTTTTTATAAAATGACATGTATATAATTCAAATTTTATTAGTAAGCAGGATTAGAGGACTTCATCTGTTGTAGTATCTGTTCTAAATCCTGCATCTATAGGCACAATGTCAGATTATTAACAAAGCAATCAAATTATCATTGCATTGACAGTATATTGGTATTAATAACTATTATTTCTAAACTTAAATGTTCTTTATTCTGTATTGTTACTGCCATTGCTTCTATTCTTTAAATATAATAGTACTAAAGACACTATTATTATCTATACTCTTGTATAGAAATGAAGAACAATAATATTAAAAACAATAAAAATAATGGTTACTTTTGGCGGCATTATTATTAATTCATTTAACTGAGGTAAAATTGCAGATAATAGGGATGATGAGCTTCTCAACAACGAACTTCTGCAAGGACTTGATCTAGGGCTCTGTTGTCGAGTCACTAATTTCTTGTAGATACTAACTTGCATTTATCTACTTTTACAGGAAGTTAATATGCATTCTGATCCTCCAACGCCAAGACAACAAGTACCAATACTTCCACTTGCTGAAAATCAAGAACAAGAAGGTGGCGAAGGCCATCGTCTATTACATCCTCTAGAAAAGGATGTGGGTGGGGATGGTAACATTGACAACAATGAGCTAGACAACAGAGGAGATTGGGCTCAAAGAGAAAGAGGCAGGGGAAAGACTAGGACAAGGCAGGGGAGGATTAGAAAGTTGCACAGGAGGACTAGGACGAGGCAGGGGAGGACTACAAAGTTGCAGGGGAGGACTAGGAAGAGGCAGTGGAGAACGAAGAGGCACATGTAACCATGATCAGAACCATAGCCGTGGGAGGTGGAGGCCATATCAGTGCCAATGGAGAAGAACTAGATACAGCTGGGGAAATTTTAGAGGAGGCAATTATAGTGGAGGAGCAGCAGGTGGAGCGAAAAATGTTTAGCTACTTGTTGAGATAATTAGATTATTAATTGATAGTTGTCGTAATTCTAGGTTTCAGTAAGTAATAGTTGTACATGTAAGTATTTTAGGTTTATTTTAACTGCAAATTATATTTTATTGTCATCGTAACATTTTTAATGTAAATTGGCAGCCACATTTTTTAACATTCTTAACTATTATTATTATTATCAATAATTATTGTTATAATTTAGTTTAATGTCATCATACCAATATTATTTTATTGTTTTAAAATAGTAAACATCATGTTCTTATCTTTTGCTGTCTACAAAATAAGTAAAAATTGTTTATTACAATGAGGACATTACTACAATGTACATGTACATTACCATGTTTTTTAGAGATTACTTCTCCACTAAAACTGTCACTAGAAATACATTATAGACATAAAAACGACACACTATACACTATAGACATACAAGCACATAATAAACATACAAATTATAATACACTTAATGATACTAATATCAGTTATCCTCACTCTGAAGAGCATGATTATTTTTCATCGTATCATTACTCCTAAGAGCGTGATTGTATTGATCTCAATTATCATCACTCCGAAGAACGTGATTAAAAGTGATCTTATCACTCTGAAGAGTGTGATTATTGATTTTATCATCACTCTGAAGAGCGTGATTTTGTTCAGAAAGAGAGTGAGATGGAGAGAGAAAGCATATATACACATATTGTACACACACACCTAGTCTACATGCATACATGACTATCACATACAAATATAATACAAACAATACTTACAAACACACTATAAACACATAAAAATAATATGTACAGTATCACACATTCACATAAATTTGTACAAAGTCAGATTGTACTTCTGGGCCCACCTTTTATCCCCAATCTCCATTCCATTGTTATGAATAGAGTCAAGAGTGTTATAAATTATTACAATAGTATCTATTACAGAACTTTTGTGGTTTTAATTATTCATATACTGTAATATGTATTTTTTTGACTATCCCAGAAGACACATCATGATCAAGTACATGTACAGCATGTGAATGTAAATGTATAATACATAATTATGTAACACGTACGTCTGTTATTCCTGCTGATCTGAACGCATTCTTGATTATATTGGGATTGGCTTGCACATAGTCATAAAACAACTTAAACCATTGTGCCCCAAGAGGCTTCATTGTAGAAAGCCATTGTAGTGCTGGAGTTTTCAGTGTTTTCCTAGGCTTTGCATAGTTTAAGTGAGTACCACTCAATGAACTTGTTCCTCATGAAGTCCTTGCAAGGTTTGTTCACCTATATGTCCAATGGCTGTAGCAAAATGAATGTTGTTTTCCATTAGGAGGTCAATGGTAGACAGGCATATCTGACCTTTAAAAATGTCATAAATGACCAAGGCTGGATATGGAAATGATACATGGCTCTGAGGTAATTGGGACCTGATATTCTCAATGTATGGGACAATGACTGTACTGATGAATTCCTTCATTGTAATTTCATTTGCCCAGTGGTTTTCAGTATGGGTAATGTGCTAGTTGGCAGGGAAAGTGACACCGTTTAGGAGACAAGCTGTAGTATTACCAGCTTAATATAATTGGAGCAGTAAAAACACTCCACTCAGTGACGCTTCAAATACAGCGGTGATTTGTCCCATTCCAACAACTTCTACACACCTAAAACGTGATGGAGCCATAGTCCAGGATGACCCAGCCACAACAGATATTCCTGTCTGATTCCAATTAATAAGCTATTCACTAGGAATATCCTCCATTACCACAGATGTCTTTATATTGGCAAGGAAATTTAAGAAATAAGACTAAAAAGCTACATGAAACTCAATGGTGTTGTAGACATCACTCTAGAGCAGCTATTTAACTACTTTTCCTGCTGTTCTCTTAACTTTACAGGCCAGTTCGAAGGATCAGACAGGGTCAGGGCAAAAGAAGCTACAGGTATTTTGTGAGGTATCACAGTGTTGACTTTAATTTCCTGCCTAGTAGTGTATAACCATTTGTTTGGTATTTCTGCACATCTTTCAGTCTACTTCAAGCTAAATCTATTAAACTTAATAGTGCAGTAACTAAAATTGAAAAAGTAATTCCTTTGAGAAGTTCAGATCAAAATCACAGTGGGCTTTGTTATGACAAGAAAGTTTATTTTCTATCATGTGTGTAGCGATGCTGTAGAAAGACAGCCACAAAGTTGAAGTCAAACACAAAACAACTTCCTACTCATTTGTCTGACCCTCTATTTACTGAAGCAATAGGTACCTCAATTTTAGGATCTGATTTTTCTTTTGGGATTTGCAAGAATGAACTTTACTACCCAACTCTTGACAACATAGTCAAATATAAATACACCATTTAGTGATGCCAATTTAACTCTAATGGAGTGTAGTGATTCACTCTTTCCTCTTTTTTTAACTTTTTCTGGAGACAGATTTGTAGAATGAGCTTCTGAAACTGTACCAAGTACTGTTAGATGGCTTAGAGGAGCAAGTTCTAACTTTTAAAAGCTTTGT